GGTAAAGAGGGAGAGAAGAGGGTATACAAACTTGCTAAGATACGAGAGTGGAAAATAAGAGATTTTAATCAAGTTAAGTGCATCAAGAGTGAGGATTCTAAGGTATTGGTGAAGGATGAAGAGATTAAGGAAAGATGGAAGAACTATTTTGAGAAACTATTAAATGCGGAACATGGAGGTGCGACAATAGGAGGAGAAATGGCCAGTAATACGATAAACCAAGACTATAGGTTTTATCGCACGATTGGGAACTTTGAAGTGGAGATTGCACTTAAGAAGATGAAATCAAATAAGGCTTTAGGACCCAATGATATCCCTATTGAAGTTTGGAAGTGATTGGGTAAAAAGGGGGTTGCTTGGTTGACTAGGTTGTTTAACAAAATTTTGTTGACTAGGAACATGCCAGATGAGTGAGGAAGAGTATTTTAGTGCCAATATATAAGAATAAAGGATATGTCCAGAATTGCAATAACTATAGAAGAATCAAGTTAATGTGTCATATAATGAAAGTGTGGGAGAGGGTGATGGAACGCCGATTGTGAGATATAACAGAGGTGTCAGAAAATCAATTTGGGTTTATGCCTGGCAGGTCAACAATGGAAGCGATTTATCTTTTGAGGAGAGTAATAGAAAAGTATAGAGAAAAGAAAGAGACATTCATATGATGTTTATCGACCTTGAGAAAGTATATGCTAGAGGGCCCCGAGATATAATATGGTGGGTGTTAGAGAAGAAAGGGGTGACAAAGGGTTACATTGATGTGATTAGGGACATGTATGAAGGGGTGGTGATCACTATTAGATTGCCTGCTGGAGAGACAAATTAATTTTCTATCACTGTTGGGTTACACAAAGGATCTACCTTAATCCCTTATCTTTTTGCTTTAGTTATGGATGAGTTGACGAGAAATATTCAGGATGATGTGCCATGGTGTATGCTTTTTGCAGACGATATTGTGCTAGTGGATGAGACTAGAGGAGTTAACACAAAGTTGGAGATTTGGAGAAAAGCTCTTGAATCGAAAGGATTCCGAATAAGCAGAACTAAGACAGAGTACATAGAGTGTAAATTTAGTAACAGTAACAATGAAAGTAGAGGAGAAGTGAAGATTGAGAATCAAGAACTGCCTAAGAGTGAACATTTTCGTTATTTAGGGTCGATTATCTCAACAGCGAGGGAGATTGATGCGGATGTGGCGCATAGGATTAAGGCGGGATGGTGTAAGTGGAGAAGTGCATCTGGGGTACTGTGCAATAAACAAATACCCACTAGACTAAAATGTAAGTTCTATATAACGGCTATTAGACCAGCGATGTTGTATGGGATGGAGTGTTGGGCAACCAAGAAACAACATGTAGATAAGATGAGTGTGGCGGAGATGAGGATGCTAAAGTGGATGTGTGGCAAGACTAGACAAGACATAATTAGGAATGAGTGTATTCGGGAATGGGTATGAGTAGCACCGATAGAATATAAGTTGAGAGAGAATCGATTGAGATGGTTTGGTTACATTCAACGGAGACCAACAGAGACAGTAATGAAGAGATGTGATGCTGTAACGGTAGAGGAGAGTGTTAGGGGATGGGGTAGGGCTAGATTAACGTTGGTTAATGTTGTAAATAGAGATATGGATCTACTTAATTTGACTAATGAAATAGCCTTTGATAGGGCCGCGTGGAGAAGAATGATTCATGTAGCCGATCCCATTTGATGGGACTCAAGGCTTGGTTTGGTTTGGTTTGGTTTAATGAAAGTGAATGGGTATGAGAAGCTCATAAGGGTTTGGCATCACAAGATAAACATAATAAATACCTGATTCTAGTAGTAGTGATAAAAAAAACAAGTGATAAGGATAGTTTTTTGAAAAGAAGTTTCTATAATAACAAAGAAAGATAATAAGTGACTTAACCTTTTCGGGTATTTTTTTTTAAAATGTCTCTTATATTTTACTTTCTATTTGCTAATAAATTTTAAGAAATTACTTAGCTCTCGTTAGATTTTTCTAATAGCTGTCTGAAAAACTCATTGTTTTAGAATATTTCTGTCATGATCCTATCCCGCCCTCTCCAGAATAGTGTGGTGAGTGCCGAAGGCACTAACTAAACAAAACAATAAATGGACTGGTAATAATGGGGTAAAATTAGTGGAAGCATTATACTTTTTTTTTTGTTTTTTATATTTTTTATCCATTCGAAGCATGTGCATAGGTAATGAAATAAAACATTCAACTTTTCATTATGTTTCTCAAAACATCTCAAGAGAGTACATAGCTTACAAGAAGGTGCAAAACGTAACACGATAATAGTCTATTCCTTTCCCAAACTAATATTTTCAAGGCTTTCCGATCTCTTTCAAAACATAACCTTCAACATATTACATATGTACAAAGCTTATACGACAAGATCTTCAAATTTGCTCTTCATCACCTACATACATATAGGGAAGAGAGGTGGGCCATAGTCCAATGAATAATATATTAGCAAAGTGGTACAATGAATAAATATCAAGTTTTACAAAAACAAAAACTTTTCATAGTTGTACTTCAAGCAAGTTCAAATCATATCTTTCCAAGAATATTACATTTTCAAGACATAACGATGAACATCCATCAAAACAAAACATGAGGCCTGGGTACTGATTAGACGAACCCACCTGTAGGTGGCAAGGGTGATCTCAATTATACTGCTATTAGCACGTTTCTAGTAGTTAGGACCAATCTGAGGAGACCATATTTATACATTGGTACACAAACATAGGATTTTCATTCATATCAAAGCATTTCAATGTAAACCGAAATATAATACGATTTGAGTTCCAAAATCGGAGTTCAAACAAAATTTTCAAATAATACCACTCACCCTAGGAAGCATAGATATGGATACGAGATACGGATACGACACAATACGGATACGGCGATATGACAAAACTTAAAAAAATAGGATACGGGTACGGCTAGGATACGTTTGTGGAAAATATATTTTTTAAAATTATTAATAGTGAGTTACACATAAGCTAAAGAATGTTAAAAAATCACAATGTAATTTTATAATGCATAATACTATCCTTTAAGAATTTTGTATTAATTTAAGCTAGTAGCTTGTTTATTTTTTAAATTTTTAATAGGTCTTGCAAATATTTCATTTCAATATCAAGTTTAATATATTTATATTACAATAATAGAACAATTCACAACTTGTCCCTATGCTTTTTCCTTTGACACTAGTGAAAAATATTATATTCAAGTTTACTTGCTTATTTATTTATTGATATTTAATTTTACCATTGTTATATTCTTTTGTTAATTCTTAGTTTCTATGTAGTTATAGGGGACATGCAAGAAATAATTAGGATACATCAATTTGATAAATTCTATTATTTAACTCACTATGCTCTTCTTATCGAAGAACTTAACAAAGAATTAGAAAAATATTCTTATATTTATACTTGCAATTATATTATATTCTATTACTATGCAATAAATGTTACAATTCTAATTTCATAAAACAAGTTGGAGTATCCGATACTTCAAAATTAAATATCCGATACTCCAAAATTAATGCAAAATTAATTAAGAAGTATCCGATACTTTTAATAAGTATCCGATACGTATCCGCGAGTATCCAAGGAGTATCGGTATCCGATACGGATACGTCACCCTATTTGAAGTATCCGTGCTTCATAGCACTCACCAATGGCTCCTAGGAATGGGATGATCCACGTGATTATAACACACAAGTGCAAAGAGCAATATCCATTGAAACACCAAGACACAAATTCTAAGTCATTGTGGGTAGTTCAAATGTTCATCTTAATTTGATTCATTTTCATTTTAAACAAGTTTAAGAATACTATTAGAGGCTTCTGTAAGTCTCAAAACTAGTCTTAAGGGTCAAAAGTGGTTTTGAATAGTACAAAAAGGTAATGCTGAAAAACAAAGTTCCGCTTGTGTGGAGGTTTTGGCAGCACATGCGGAGCTACTGCAGAATGCTCCAAGACAATTAAACAAGAGCAAATGTATGCTCATGTCATGCAAGAATGTCTCAGGTGTTACAGCTTCACAGTGTTTTAATGAGTTTTGTTGTGTTTCGGTATGTTTCAATGGGATCAATGGAACTTTGTTTTCCACTACTGTCTGGTGTTAGTTACCTTGGAAACATAAATGATTTGCCTGTTCTGATAGAATTTAAACGAAATTTTGATGCTTGCCTTGTATAGTGTCACATGATATTAACAAACATGAGTTGTAAAGCCTCAAGCTGCACCTAGCCGGCTATAATTTCCTGAAGCAGACATGCATTATTTATTTCTTTTAACAAAATTTGTAACAATTATGGTATCCTTGTAGCCTGTGTGAGGAAATGTCAGTGCACTTTTTATGTTCTTTACACATTGACCAATATTATGTGTGTATTGCTTTTTGCTTGAACACTTAAGAAGAATGGACAAGTGACACAATATGGACATGCCGACATGCCAATTTTCAAAAAAATGCGACACAACACGTAGGAGACACACAAAATATATGCTTTTATATGTATTATATACTAATATTTCATTCAAAGATAGTAAACCAATGTAACATGACATGAATTTCTAAAGTTTGAGGGAAGAGATGTGAGTCCATATTGTTTTTCTTTTATCATTATATTTTCTAAGTTGTTTTTTCTAACTTTTATTGTGTTTCATATGTGTCTATGTGATGGGCACGTGTGTTCCCCTAGCATTCGTAGTGTGTTTATGTCTAAAATAAATAAATAAAAAATAGACACATTTGAACGTGTGTTCAGCACATGTTGGGAAGTGTTTGATGAGTCTCGGTCACGGACAAGACAAGGACATTCACCTTCTTAGAAGTGTTCATATTTCTTAGCTAACTACCATCTTTTTAAAAGCATGTTAGTTTGCTCTTCATGTCTTGGTCAAGGGAAATTAATGAAATAATTTCTTGTGAGTTTCTAGTTTTCTGTTATATTCTTACAAGGTATATATTTTTATTTTAGGTGCTCGATGCATTGGTCCGTCTTTTCTGCCGGTCAAATATTTCTGCAGAAACGTTGTGGGATGGTGGTTGGCTTTTTCGGCAGTTGCTTCCTTATAATGAAGCCCAATTTAATAGTCGTCATCTCAAATTGCTCAAAGTAAGTTAAATCCTGAAGATCCAAAAGATACTCCATGTGATATAGTGTCTCTGGCTTGACGTAACTTTTTTTTACTGTAGGATATACTTTTTATTTTATTTTGTTAAAAGCAGCATTAATCTAACACATTCAATCTTAAATTGCTCGAAGTATGATGTCCTTTTGATGTATTGAAGAGATGCCGTCCATGTTTCCTCAATTGAAATATGTATTTTAAAGTCAATATTGTATTTATGGCAGGCATGTAAAGCTATCATTGTAATTATGGGTGTACTCTCATAGTACTTACTGATATCAGATAGCTCCAACTATTATGTTGTAGTTATATTTAGACGAGGGAGGTCAAGTGTAATTTACCCTAATTTTTGAAGTTACACCTTATTGTAGTAAGCTTCTTAGTTTGTGTTAAGTAAGCTACTCTTTCTCTTGCTCTTTTTCTTAATGAACTGATTATTAATTGTACAATGATACCATAGTCTCTTCGTGTACAGTGTTCATATAAGAACTGCACTAGTGATCTTCTAGCAGAGGCTAGAGGAACCTGGCCCGACCTACTTATAACATTCCTTTGTGATGAGTGGAGAAAGTGCAAAAGAGGTATTCAACTTGAGCAGTTAACTAGTTGTGAATGGATGAAGTTTGCTAAATATGTTGTACTAGTATTTTGATGATGAAACTTTTACTTGTAGCAATTGAGGCTTCATCTCCTCGAAGAGAGCCCAAGTGTTCGCTATTTCCATCACGAAAGCCTTCTTTTGAAGGTATGACAAATTTCAAGTAATTGAAGAAAAATTGAATTATGCATTTTTTTTTTTAATAGTCATATGTGGTCATGCTTAGTTATGTTATCGCTTATTGTTGCAGAACCTATTCCTGGTGAATTGTCTTTTCCTGCTGGTGAGAGAATGTGCGAGTTGGTGAAGGTTGTGTTTGAACTCAATTTTTGTCAATTCCTTTTGTACAAGCATGACCTATATTAACCTGGATTCTTCTAAATTTGTGAAGTGTTGGGCACCTGACACTCGAGTAAGAATATGGATTATGTGCTTGTATCATTAGCTTTGGAATAATTTTTAGTTTTTATTTGTGTTGATTTATTTTAGTATGCTACGTGATAGATTTGATATTATTATATTAGGTTTTGTAGTTAGGGTATTTTGGTAATTTTGTTATTTACTAGACATTGACAGTAGAGTTAGGCATGTGTGAATTTTCTTCACCCTTGTGAGGGTGAAGCACTTATTTCCTCCTATCATTTTCTTTCTTCTTCTTTGTGCACATATCCAAGCTACTATTCTCGGGTTATTATTCACAACCTTTAAAATGTTTAACTCTCAACCCCAAAACCCTATCAAATCATGCCCAAATCAACTCTAATCTCTTTCATTGTCTATTGGCCTTCAGTTTAATCATTAACATACTAAATTTCACTGTTTAGGTCCTTAAATAGCATCTATTATGAAAATCCAGCAAGTTATCCTACATCAGTTTGATATTAGAGCTCAAGATCCTATTGTGTTCCCCCACCAATTTTAATGCTCACGATCCTATCTTGACACTTTAATTTTTTGGATGTTTAAAGAAAAAGAAGCTCCAATTTCATATTAAGGAAAAGTTTATAATTTCTCACACCAAGAAGCACAAACACTTCTAAGAAGGTGTCGTGTTTGTGTTGGACATATGTCGGATGTAAGAATATTGTGAGAAGAATAATATTATTCTTACATTAATCCTTTGAAAATCACCATTTAAAAAGTTGGTTTTCACTAAAATAATTAGAGAAAAAGAACAAATCCCTAATTAAACATAAATAAATAATTATTTAATAATAAAAATAAATGATTACATTCTCACCGTACACCCAACACTTTTCAGACACACATCCTGACCTGTATTATTATTATTTTAGTTTTGAGACTTAGATACACTTCAGACACTTTGGGGACAAATATCCACTGCTTAAGCATGCATTAAACTCATTACAAGTTTGAAGAATTAAGAAAATAAGTTAGGATCCAATGAAACAAAAATAAAAATATAAATGTATACATATATATCATAAATATGACATATTACAAAATTTTAGAAGTATATAATTTTGAGTGCTTAGGCCATAGGTCCAAATTTGAATTTCATTTGTCAAAAGGTTCACATGAAACTATTCAACCCATAAGGACATGTTTCTGGAAAATAACCAAACTACCCATTACTATTTATTCGGATCACATGTCTATCTATTTCAAACCTATCTCTCATGCACACGGAACGGAACATCCTTCCAAATATTCTTTATTCCCCTCTCTCTCTCTCTCTCTCTTTCTCTCTCTCACTCACTCCCATCCAAAACCTCATTTGACTCCTGACCAAACCCTACCTTGCTTCCCTTAATCGTCAAGCTCGCTGACAAAAACCCTCTGATCGGCCTTTGGCGAGTCTGCCAGAAACAGAACAAAACATTCGAAGAGCTCTTCGTCGAAACAAAGGAGACTAAGTTAGAAGGAACAATAGGAAGATCGACAGAGAGATTGACGAAGATAGCGACCAGATCTGGGCTGAGACGAAGACGATGATGCAGCAATGTCTCCGTTTCTCGAAGGGTTGTAAACTACCAGATCTCGGTGGAGACAACAACAGTAGCGTCGGTGATGAAGACGGCGGTGGATCCGTTGCGGTTGTTGATGAGAGTTAGCTCTAAATAGGTGGTGGGGCTGCTTCCGATGATGTAGAGGCGGGTCTTGAGGGTATACAGTTCGTTCATGACGGCAGCAGACGTAAACAACGCGGTGGCAACGGTGGTGGTGGGAGAGGCAGAGGCAGTGGTGGTTGCCGATGAACTTGATGTATTCGACGAGGATGACAGTGCCTTGAGCGACGAAACTTTTGATCAGCGACTGTTAGCCCATTTCTTTCTGAGCAAAAACCCTTGTTGGAGAGAGAGTTGGTTTGTGAGAGAGAGAGAGAGATTTGAACAAACATGTTAACAGGTAAAAAAAAGATCAGCACAAGTTAAAAAAATTCAACAGATACGAAAAAATAGGTTTGAACAGATAGGTTCAAAAAAATTAAACAAATAAAAAAGATTTCAATAGATATGTTGAGGGGTAAAATTGGAAGCAAAATGTCCTCCAAAATAACAAAACGTACTTATCGCCACAATATTTTACAAAGAGTACTTCTCAAAAAAAAAAAAAAAAACTCATGAGACCTAACGCTTTATACCCTTCTTAGATTGGATTTATTACCAATTTTCTCTATATTTTTTACATGTGTTCCCCACTAATTGTGTTCTGCATTTTTTACAATTTCGTGTCACGGTGTTGTGCCATGTGTCTATTTGTGCGTCTTTGCTCAATAGAAATCTCCCTCCTTTATTTAAAGTCTTCCCAAATGATAACATCTTATATTGGAATATTATACGATATATAATATTTTGAATGTTCCATATGTGTGGGCACCTTTACCCAATTTTGGATACAGATCCCAATATCTTATAATTTTAGGGTTTAGGGAGGTATGATGGCTGGGCACTCACTGACACCTGTTACTCATACCCAAGTCTATGCAATTTTGTATACACTAGTTGACATTGCTTGGAAGATAAAAAGAAATTGGAGAGATTTATTTAAACAGGCTGTATGATGTGTGCTGGGGAGTGATAGTAGTAACTAAGCATTTAAAATCTGGAGTGTTTGAAAAACAAGGTGGCCTACTCTTATTCTTCTGCTTTATTATTATTATTATTTTTTAATGTGAGAATTTCTTCATTCTCTTCTAAACTATTGAAAGAATGAGTTCTTGGGTTACTCACCTAAAGAATTTTATATGCCACTATTTCCATTTGAATTTCGATGGAAAATCAAAATATTGTTATGGTACAAATGAATCCAATCAGGTGGAGCAGTGTACATCATGATAGAGGATGTCTGATGGTTGTCAGGTGAGATAGGTCACACTTATCAAAATTCATCAAAATCAATAATTAGGAGAGCCAGTTTGAAATTCTGTGGTTTGGGCAGGGGGTAGCTGGTATTGTGGATGGCCATTTTATGATCTTTGAAGGATTTTAGTAAGTAATAACTGATTGGCACAAGTTGATCCTGGAGGGCCAATTTATGATCTTTGAAGGAATGTGACGAATATGACAATTTTAATTTGCCACTTATGGCCATGTGCATTTTGTGTGCGTGTTAGTGCGGGGGAGATGTTTCTGTATGCATTGTTTTCCTTTGATATCTGCATAATCTTTGTCACCATTTCCATTTTAGGTGTTTGTACTTCTTCATCAAGTCCAAATTTTCTCCATTGGTGGTGCTGTGCCTGATCAACCCTGTATCCACCCTGCGGTGGATATCCCTGAAATGTCCCGTGCAAAAACTGCTGGTCTGGATGCTTTTGGTCCAAAACAAGGTGCCGAATTAAAACTTGGTTAGTCCTCTTGCTCTTGTATTCTTGAGTTCTAGTAATGAATGGCTATAAATTTCATTTTATTTGTTTTTATTGTTTATAGATGGCTCTTCAATTTTGTTAAAATATTGCCCATTTTGTGGATGTCTGAAAGAAATTATTATTGTTTTTATTCAATGAAGTTCTTGTTTTTAAAAAATTTGGGTCATCTTCTGCTGGCTGCTGTTCAGCTGATGCAGTGCCTTGTAGAATTTCATTTGAGAGGGGTAAAGAGCGCCAATTTTGCTTTCTAGCATTATCTTTGGGAACATCTGGGTGGGTTGTTCTTGCAGAAGAATTACCTTTGAAACAGCATTGTGGAGTTGTTCGTGTTACTGCACCTTTGGCTGGCTGTCATGTAAGTGAGGCTGTGCTTTGTTATGCTTCAATTTCGTAATTCTAATATATCACATGCTTATTTCAATGAAAACTGTGCACACCTTTTTTTCTTGGAATTGCTTTCATAATTCTTCTGTATTGTATCACTCTATGTAACAACCTTGTCTCTTTATATCCTTGTATACCAATGTTTTCACTTTGGTGGTTCCTTTATCTCGTATGTCTTGCTATATGCCTCGGTGCAAAAAAAAAAACAAACAAAAAACTGTATAGTAGCTTAGCTTACTAAGAACTGTCTAGGATTATATAACATACAAATGAACCATGTTTTCTTCTCGTTTCTCCTTTCAGCCAAGGATTGATGATAAGCATTCAAGATGGTTGCACCTTCGGATCCGTCCATCCACTTTTCCTTCCATAGATACCGTTAAATATGCTGCTGCCAAAGGAAAGCCCAAGACAAATGCTTTGGTTGATGGGAGATGGACCTTGGCATTTAGGGATGAGGATTCTTGCAAATCTGCTTTGTCCATGATTATTGAGGAGTTAAATTTACAGAGCAATGAGGTGGAGAGAAGACTACAACCTTTACTCGACCTTGAAATGGCTGTAGATTTATCAAACCCTTCTCTGTCCTCACAGCAGGTTTCTTCTTCGAGAACAACATTGTCAAATTCTGTGTAAGTTATTTTAGTCTTTTCAAGTTTCCCGATAATATTTTGCTTTGACATATGGGGTGGGAATATCCTTTGTGAAACCACCCTTGTGTATATGTATTTGTTTATACAAGGCAACCCTAGGTACACAAATGTAGATTTAGAGCATGCATGCATTTTTAAGGGCCAATTTTTTGTATATTAGCTTCTTTTTTTTTTATAATTTTTTTTTTTCATTTCACTTGTTTTTGTAAGTTTAGCATTTGTCTTTGCCGCCTCATTCTTTTATAGCTTAACCAAGGTGGTTCTTTTTTCTCTTTGTACTTTGTAACCCGGGTAACATTAAAATGTATACTTAAGCTGAAGCAAAAGTTGTAAGTTTTTCGTGCATCACTCTCATGCATATATATATATATATATATATTCTTGCATCTTACTTTCGCTCCGCTGTTTTTGTCAGCCAGTTTTACATCTTACATTCTTTGGTGGCTCTGCAGCGATATATGCCAATTGCTTCAATTCTGAGCATGCTTTGATTTGATCTTTAAGTGGGTACCGAGAATACATGCTCAAGTGTTAGAAACTTCTAATAAACAATGTGAAATTACGACACACAATTAGGCTGTTTCACTTGTCAAGAATATTATAGAAGAAAAATAATTCATGACAAAGTTGGATTAAAGGGAAGGAGAATATCAAAGAATTATGTTTTTAATACCTAATTTTGGGGTGTCTCTATTTACACACCATCTTTTATGTCAAGGAACACAACTACTCAAGACACATCTTTAGCAATTTGATAAATAAGAAATTTGCTCCATACACACAACAGTCTTCCATCTTTGTCCTTATTCACACACTTCATCCACGATCTTCCATCTTTACCTTTATTCACACACTACACCCACAATCTTTAATCTTCCATATTTTACACCTCCACTTCAAAAACACACATCGCTCCCCTCCATTCTCTGTTTCATTGTCATCCCAGAGGTTTAGGAACCAATCTAAACCGGTCTCTATTTGTGCTGAAGACGATTTCACTCCATTCTTCTCTGGTTCATGACCCTCTCCATGGATGCACAATTATGGAAAAATCAAAATTTGTTTTTTTGGGTCATAAGTGTTTGGAAATACAGAGAGTTAAGTTTAAAAGTTTGACGGTTGAAAATCGAACAAATGCTATAAGTTTAGAACTTATTAACAGAACATGTGGACTATGTTCAACACTAGAAAATCAAACAATTAGAACTTGCTCGGTTGTAGATAATCGAACATGAGTATATTGTTCGAATTTAGGTATCCGAACGAATACAAACGGTTTTCCACTCAGTAAGTACACGAAAATGAAAAAAAAAGAAGAAAAATTAACTTTTTCCTCACTCCATTGTTCCAAACTAATATTGTCAGATGCATCCATCATTCAGTCCAATCAAAATCTTCAATAATACACATTTTTTATTGTTTTTTTTAGGGGTTTTTGATTTTTGTTTTAGGGTTTCTGGGTTCTTGAGAGAGAAGATACATAAGTAACGTTTCAGAAAAGAGGTGTGTATTGCATTTTTATTGTCCTTTATGGTAATTCTACATAAGGTGTGTATCATGGCCCTTTGTCTTTTTGGTCATTTTACATTAGGTTAATATTATAATAAAAAATAAACTAATTAATGGTGTGCCTTGAGACAAAAAGTGGTGTGTAAATTGAGGCATCCCTAATTTTGGCTTTCAAATTTATTGCAATGCATAATCTTGTACTTCTTGTAGCAAATGATTTTAAGGGAAGTATTTATTTGAAGAAAATGATTAGACCAAAAAAAACAAAACAAAATAAACATGATTCATTTCCTGTAAATTAAAGGCAGGGAAGAAACAACAGCGTGTGTGCACGAAGGGAATGGCTCCTCTCCACATTACCATCATACATACTTCATCAAACTCTATTTTATGGAGCTTATTTCTGGCCATAACAATAATTTAAACTGTTCATTTTGTAAATTTTATAATAAAAATTGTTGTGCAAAAATCAGTTTCATTAGATATCGAAGAATAGATGAAAAAAAAAGCATATTATTTTATAAAATGGGTAGTTTAAGTTTAAATTCGTAGTTGTCCATTTTAAAAAATAAAATTTAATTTGTTCACGTGTCTAGTGATATTTGATGAAGTTAATTTTTTGTGCAAACTTTTATTATGAAATTTATAAAATGAATAGTTTGGATTATTATTATGACTCTAGAATGAGGCCTATAAAATAGAGTATGGTGAAATATCGAAGATAGTGATATGAAAATGAGTCATCTTGTCCAGGAAAGAACAAAGTAAGAAGACTATCCAAAAAATAAATAAATAACAAAATAGAGAAAAAAAAAATGTCACTTTGAAATGATGAATGCAATGTTTATAGGGAAAATTTCCAATAAGTCTTACATTTAAAAAAAAAAAAAAATTCCCATTAGTCTTACTAACACAAAAATCAGTCTTCTCATTATAGTGTGAATAGGACTTGAATGAAAATTTTATGAGAAAAGTAAGACTCATTGATAGTTTTTTCATGTTTTGTTTTGTTTTGTTTTGTTATCTCTAAATGCCCTCCAAAAGATTGGTTGAGCACCCTACTTTTTCAAAAAAATAAAAAATAAAAAATAAATAAATCAATTCCATTTTACCCAAAATTGCTAAAAGTCAAAGATGAACCCTAACCCTAACCGGTCATACTTCAATTCCGACTAGACCAACCTAATTTCGGCCAACCCTTCCAGGCACCCCTCTTAGTTGCTGTCGTTACCGCCTTTTCTATATAGCTACTTCTTTATTCGCAGCCGTGAGCCACTCATCCGTCGTAAATCCCATTGTGAATGATGCCCCAACCTTAATCCTACTCCTCGTAGTGAGCCAACCTCCCTCCTGTCTCATCTATCGTGAACTCTTCCTCTATACCCTAGATTTAGTGGAAATCCTATATCTATGGTTTGGGAAGAAGGAGAAGGAAGAGGAGGAGGAGGAGGTGGAGGAGGAAGAAGGAGATGAAGAAAAAGAGAAGAGAAGGAACGGCAAAATGGGTGGAGAAGAAGAGGTGCCAAGTGGATGAAGGGGTAAAGTCGAAATTAAATGGGGTGTTAAAAAAAAGAAAAACATTTTTTTTGGATGATCATCCAAATTGTTGTGCGGTGCTCAACCAAATTATTGTGCTGGGTTTCCATAACAAAGCAAGGGTAGATTTTTGAATGACATTGGCTTGAAGGTGTATTTTTTGGGTGGCAGAAAGAGAAATTATTGATAGAGATAAAGATTACAAGAGTTTAAGCATCCATACAATACCATACAACCCCCAATACAAAATTACATATGCAGACATATCAAACATTGGAATAATGTTGGCTTGAAGGCGTATCAAACATTAGAATATTTCAATTTGCCATTTAAGGGCAAGTAGTAGCCATGTGAGGATCTCTTAAATGCACACAAGCACATTTATTTTTGTACTTTGGATGAGTGGATGAAACAAAGGGTTAAAAAATAAAAAATAAAAAAATAATTTTTAGTAGGTATTAATAGTTGGACTAAATTTTCATTAAGTCTTATCAATTCATCGCAAAAGTTGGTCTTAATAGAATCGTGGCTAGAAAAGACATATTGTGACGATTTTCTGAATATGTTGTTAAAAATTGACAATTAGTGACTTTTTTTGTGACGAATTTTTCAAATTGTCTTTAAAAATTAACAATTAGTAACTTTTAAAATAAAAATAAAAATACTATTAATTATTATAGGATCTATTGAGTAATAAGTCCATTTATTGAGATCACCATGTAAGTTAAAAAAAATAATAACAATATATAACAATAAAAAGAAAGAGAGGGCAGGGAAGAAAATTAAGTGAAAGATGTTAGATTTTATTCATTTGTTGGGTTGTGTTAGGAAAATGACAATAAAATAAATAGATAATTGGGTTAAAAACAAAAAAGGTTTGTTTTTTGGCACACAAAACAAACATATATATTATATATATGTGTGTGTGTGTAAAGGCATATGCAAGGCACGGGTTAGTATAACCTTTGACTTAAATGAAATGAAATAATATGACAATTTTAAAAAATATTTATTTTATGTTTGATTTACTCAAAAAATAATAAAAAATTCATTATAAAAGAAATAATAATTATTCCATAAAAGAATAATCATTTCATTCCATTGCATCTCATTCCATTACACTACTCGTACTTTTTCTCAAAAAAATAAGATTATTTTCTTACAAAATTGAATAGAATAAATGATTAAATATATGATAGAAATTTTAATTTCTATTATAAGGTACAATTATGGAATAAGTAGATGAGATAAAATTTTAGTTCAAATAAGTGGATTTTTTTTTATTAAGTTTGATTAGAATGGGATAATCAAATGGTGATATTATACGTCAATGATCATGTGGGATTGTCATTAAACTTTGATTGACACAACACACTTTTTTTTTTTTATATGATTAATTTGTTAGTTATATGTATGAGAAATTATTATTATCTATTTTACACTAAATTATATATTTCAACATTTATTATCTCTATGTTTATATATCATTTATATTAATTTAATTTGTTTTAACCTTCTAAAAAGAATGTCAGATATATAAAAAATGTTTTGGTATTTACTTTAAACCTAAGGATAGTTAAGGTAATTTACCCAAACAAAAGTGAAGGTGGTGGTGTGATAGCAATAATTGCAATAGTGGTAGTGTGGCAATTGTCGTGGTTGTGTCATATGATAGAGTGTGGTACGTAGTAGTGCAGTGATGACGACGATAGTGATTGTATGATAGTGGTGGAAATGATGATAATTGTGGTAATGAAATACTGGCGGTGGTGGCGGCGGTGGCGATGACGGTGGTGGTGGTGACGGTGGTGGTGGTGATGGTGGTGATATTGGTAGTGATAGTGGTAGAAATGACAATATGATTGTGGAGGTAGAGGTGAAGGTAGAGGAGCAACGGTGTAGTTATAGCTATTGTGGTAATTTATTTTCATTAATTACATTTAGGGTGAAGTTGGAAATGGATTATCAAACATCAAACACTGAAAAAAGAAATGATCCGTCGAGTTCAAGATTGATCTCTAATAATGGATCAGATCACACCAATATCAATCCGTTTTCTTCCATTTTTTCCTATTCCAAGGCAAAGATTCAACAATCCCTTAACCAAAATGAAGGAACTATTCATAATGGAAATAAGAAATTCTAATCTTTGATAATTTTGTCATCATCCAGTTATTGAATGGAAATAAGAAATTCCAATCTTTGCTAATTTTGTCATCATCCAATTGTTTTCGATTGAGTCCATTCAATGATGTAAAATCATCCAATGTGATAAGAGAATCAATCAAAAAAAGGAAAAT